CGACTACGATCGTCTTCATTTCGTACATGGTCTGTAACATTAGAGGCTCCTCTGACCAGCCCAGGAAAAGAGCATTCAGCGGCCTGTGTTTGTTTTCAGTTTAATGAGGTGAGCTGCCGGCTGTTGTTAGGAACAAAACCTGTCCTGAGCCTCATGAAGGGAATGTCATCCAGGTTGATTGGATGAGAAGCAGGGTTTTGTTTTGTAAACGCCTCTGGCTAGTGGGTGTTCCCCTTCGTTGTGTGTATAGTGACTGGGCTGTGATCAATACCCCGCTGGGCTTGTTTACACTATATATTATCCATTAGCTCAGTTTACTGCTAGATCATCCGTCAGACTGGAGACGTCCATTGCTGGTGTCTGTGAACGTAGGCTCCGTGCAGCTCCTTCACATCCTCGAGTAGCCAGCCCTCCAGGCTCCAGTTCTGCCTTACATCTGAGCATAGGCGCCGTCTCCGTGGGGGCCCCGGGGCTGGAGCACCCACGGGGAAAAAATGATGGGTGCTGAGCACCCACCAGCAGCCCCCCCCATCAGCTCCTCTCCACCTCCCCAGCGCCTCCTGCCTGCCAGAAGGCCCCGCGGCTCAGCGCCTCCCAAGTCCCACCCACCGTGAACAGAATAATCTGATCACCCCACCCCCGGCAAGGGCGGCACAATGGATAAAATGCCGGCTATGCTGGAGGCAACCTGATACTTCCAACCACTCCAGAGTGTTAAGTTTGTGTCATGGACACACACAGCTGATCCATTCTTTCCAAGCCTGAGGAATAGGTTCTCTAGGGGGCTGAGAAGGACTGAGCACCTGCCACTCCCCCTGACTGAAATGGAAGAGGTGGGGGCCGAGCATCTCTCAGCCCCAGGCTGGCATTCTTGTATATTTCCCGAGGAGGGAGCAGGCAGAGTGGAGGGAGGCCATGACTTACACCAACCTACCCACGTTGTGTGCACTTGAGAACACGGCTGATGCCCTAGGTCTCTGCAGACCTAGCCGCCTTGTCAGTTCTGTGAAGATAACACCGTGCAGACGCCGACTGAGTTGGTTAGAACCGCAGCTTCTGTAGTGGCTTTTCTATGTGCCGCCGTCTAGCAGATGGGAGGAAGAGTCACCAAAGGGTGCTGTCTGTGGCAGATGAAAACAGGGGCTCTAGGATAAAGGCAGGCAGGTTGGTTGCAGGGCTAAATGACAGGACTGGGAATCACAGCAGGTCTGGAACCTGGGTGCATCTAAGCTGACAGTCTGCAGTCCTGGCGCTGCGTTGTTCCCAGAAAGGGACCTTTCGGGTCCTTCAGAATTTATCATAATAGTGTTAGCTCCCTGACAGTCCCGCCTTGGCACATTGCAGAACCAACATGAAGGAGCTGAAATGTTCCAAAAAGGTAATAAAATGTGTGTGACGCATCCCACGCACACCAGGGTTACAGAGCATGTTCCAGGAGAAGGCAGCAGTTATCAATAGAAACATTTGGTCACATGCAGGCTGATACTCTCAATATTAGGTTACTGTACGCTCTCACACCCTGCCTCAGCAGTAGCTATGTTACAGTGCTGGACAGAGGTCATGGTTTGGTGTTATCTGATACCATAAGGGCAAAACACCAGGGGCGTAAGGAACAAGTCCCCTGCTGGTTTTGTTGTGCACTCTGAGAAGAGCAATGAACCATGCCAGGTAATATTTCCAAGATCCGTTGGCTGCCTGTGTTAACCATCCCAATTTAAAAGAAAAACAACAGAGATGTTGAGTTTTTTAATCTACATGGCTGCCCCGTATGGTTTGCAGCAAGATGATTAAAATTCTATTACAGGCAGCTTAGAATGCTTGATTTAACAGGACATGCCCAGCCCTTATGGCCAGCGATGACTTGACAGGCTCCGTCCTATCCAGAGACCCAAATCCAGCTCCCAGAGATAAAGCTCACGCAAGTCAGAAACTAACTTGTCTCCAGGGAAACGGAGACACTCACAGGATAGCAGCTGGAATTTTCAACGGAACCTAACCGAGTGAGGCACCCAAATCCCTTTGAATATCTGCCGACCTCACCATGCTCTGAGAAGAATTTAGTTAAAGTTTCTCCAGCTTTGAAGATGTGATGTACACGATACGTGCTAAGTAATATCATTCATATAATAAAATACACAGGGATTGCTGAAACACAGCTACTTGTGGGGTGGAACACAGCAGCTGTTTAACAGCGCACAGCAATACAGCTAATAAACATTCTGACTCCGGGTAGCTTGTTCGTACCTATTAAACACACCTTTTTGGCAGTGTGAAATGCTGTGTATGTGCCGAGGTTTAGCCTCGGTAACATCTCCAAGTGAGGAGGTAGTTGTGTAAAGGAGAGACAGACTTTCAGTACTTACGTTACTTAAAGCGTCCTGCTGCTCTTACCGCCGGTCACCTCCAAGACTGCATCCGAATAGCATTGCTGAAATGCAGCCACCTCTGAGAGTGGTGTCCACAGCCATCTGTTACACAGCACGCTGCCGAGAGAGGGGAAGGCATAGTACAATCAAGGACGTTGTGGGAAAGGCCTTCTCTTATGAAAAGGGCCATGGCCATGAGATCTTTAGCGTCCATGCAGAGGAGAGAGGCCCTTGCTTTTTATGATCTGTCGGAAAGACTTGCTGTGCACAGTAAAGTGACAGGGAAAGAGAGCTGTACCATGGCGTCCTAGCGTATTTCAGGAGCAATTCAGCTGACAGCGGAAGAGGAATTCCGGCACTGCTCACTTCGGTGTAGAAGAAGGTGCCTGACTTTTCCAAAGACAGCTTGGCCCTCGCATAGAAGCTGCCCTCTAAGGAGCTCAGTGCACTTGAACCACACTGATGAATTAAGCCATGCAACTCATCTCTTACCTCCATTTCGCAAATCGCCTCTGGGCCTAAACCTCCCTGGGTGACTTGTCTCAGGTCTCACAGCAAGTCTGTGTCAGCACAGGAACAGAACCTACAGTCCCTGTTCTTCAGCGACCCAGTCCTGTGTTCTGGGTGTATTTCCTAGCTGTCTCTTTACCAGAGGCATGTGCACTCTGCCAGAGCAGGAATGTAACAAGTAGAAAAGGCGTTTAGCAGAGTTAGAAGTGAGACAAGTAACTCCGCACGCAGTGAGCCAGGTGGGCCAGGCCTTCATTTCACTTGCTCTTCGGTGGTGTCGACAGGGAAACTGAGGCAGAACAGGCTAGTTTTCTTTCTGCACCTCCCATCCAACGCCCTTCTCATGCAGTGCACCTTGGCTACATTTCAAAATGGGTCAGATGCCTGGCTGATGGCCGACATTTGATTACATTCCAGTTGTCTACAGGAGGCTTTTGGGTGGCTCAGCCTGCTGGACTCTAAGATTTGTTTGTAGCCCGGTTTGACTACCAAGTGCAGCTAGCCTTACCCAGCCCCCACAAGGAAATTGAAGCAAGATGCTGTCCACAGGACTGTTTTCCTGGCCTCCAGGTGCTTTTTCACTTGAAAGCAGCCTCCGACTCATTGAACTGTGCTGTAGATCCCGCTTTCTCAGCTCCATATATGGTAACATGAAGGACGCTAAGCGTCCGTGGGTATTTAAATTCTGGTCGGGAACTATCCCTGTTGTCTCTTCCACAAGAGACTGAACACCTTGGAACTCCAGACAAACCAGTTGCTCCTTTGTGCCTGCTCTGATCTCCATTAGCCATCCTCCCTCAGCCGTTGGTAGTATGGTTACCCAGCAGACCCCATCCACCTTTCCGGGGGAGGAGGGGACCCTTGTCACCATCTGTGATTGTCTGTATTTGCCTCTGGGGAGACATTTCAGCTGATTATTATCATAGCAACAGGACAAGAAGCAGGCTGAGCCGGAGTGAGTTTGTAATGCTGTCTCTGGGGCTCCCCTGCAGCGCTGGCTGCTTCCCCAGCAAACAGCTGGAAAATGTGGGTCAAGTACCTTCTGCCGCCGGTGGCTTGGGAGCAGGCGTGTAGGCGTGTACTAATAGAGGACTCCACAAACAGGGCCCTGTGACAGGCGAGTCCCAAACATAAGAAGGGATCACACTCAGGCCTGCCACGAAGTATGGGGAGTTGCATCTGCTTACGGCAGCACTCAGTGTCTGGTTCTCTTTGCCCCCCTTTGGCTGCGTGGCAGGTTTCTTAGGGGTTAGCTGCCCAGACAGGGCCAATTAGTACAACTCTTTCCAGTCCTGTTTTCTCATTTCCCAGTTTGAGTGCCCGCGTTAATTTGCTGTCTGTTGCCTTTGAGCACCAGCTGGCCACGTCCAGGCAGGGGGTTACCTGAGAACAACAGAGGCTTCCAAACAGCTGCAAAGATGTTGCCTTTTTTATAGACAGGAAAAGGACACCAAGGTCGGGGATATGAGTCAGCTCAGGTCACACAGCACGTGGAGCAGGACAGGGATCAGAACTCGCGCTTTTCTGCCTTGGTGGTGCCAAGCTCTGGGGGTGTCCAGCACTCATTACCAAGGGGATAGCTCCTTGGGCTCCATTCCAGCCTGGCCGGCCGTCTGCTGCCTCTCCCGCTGGCCACAGCCCCAGCCCTGGATGTGACGCTGCCGGGGCATGGGAGGGTGAGGCTGTGGGTGACGTTTAATGAAAAGCGACGTGTAAAACTGCAGAACTATTTACATTGGCTCAAAGGGATCCAGCTTATGTGTGCGTGGGAGGGGAGGGGGGAGTTCAAACCTCTTTTAGGCCAGCTGATAGCAGCGGGGGGAAAGGGGGAAAGGGGGCGAGGTGCCATCTTGTGCCTGGCTTAGGATGGGTTTGTTAGGACTGGAAACTAAGGGTTACATTCTGGTCCAATTGAAGTCAATGGCAAAACACCCATTGCCTTCAGTAAGGCCAGGATTTCACCCCCAGCTCTCATTGTGATGGCACTTAACACAGATCAGAATGAGCGACGCACGCCCAACCCCGGGCAAGTATCCTTGGGCGGGAGCAGGGCCTAGTGTCTGGAATAATCACATGGGGACAAGCTTTTTTAAAAACCACGGGTGTGCTTGTTTTATTGTCCAGGTTCCACCATATTGGCCGAGCGACTGGGCCCATCTACACCGAGCTCTCCCACTTCAGCCCCAAATTCCCCCACGGTTCTCTGCAGCGGGGTTTCTGATCCAATCCTGAGTACGTATGGCTCCGGTCTGCTCTGCAGCTCCATCAGCGGTGAGTGTGCCCCGCCCACATCCGCGAGTCCCTGCCATGTTCTGCACAGCCACCCTTCCAGCTCCCCTGTTCAACGCCCATTGGTGCACTAAATGCACGGGGCGGCATCCATCTATGCACCTGTCAGCTCCCAAAGAGAGTGAGGGAGAAGTGCCAGAGACCCGTGAAGTCCCTAGGGGAATGTTTTTATGTGGAAGCCGCCCAGATGTCTTGATACTGGACAGCAATAACTGTGTAGCCTCTTTCATCATCAAAAATCTCAAAGGGGGCTAACAACCTTTCTAGACTGTGTACACCCTCCTGTGAAATGCAGCTGCCTCTGGGGAGAAGCTATTGTTTACCTTGCTATTCTGCACCAGGCCCCGTTACCATGAATCCCAGAGGCTGTCAGAAGTTTCCATCCAGCCTCACAATCTCTGAGTGAGGGAGGGAGGCAGAATTCCCATTGCACCCAGAGGTTGTGGCTGTTTGTAGGAGGGTAGTGCCCCATGCCAGCTATGCACATCCCTGCCCAGAGAACTCACAATCTGTGACTTGCCCAAGGCCTCAGACCCCTGCTCATGTCACCAAACAATGCACCAGTCTTAGAGCTGCTGCCGCCATCACTCTGCCCTCCCCTCCAACCATTAATCAGCAGCTATTTGCTGCTTCAATTTGCCCTCCGTAGTGAATGTTTGTACAGTGCTTGGACACTGCAGAGCTCCCTCTGTGGGCCAGCTGGGCGTGTGATCAGGCAGCCAGTTTTCCCGTTGGCCCCCGCAGTGAGCAGCTGTTTCGTTGCAGTGTATTGGCCTAAACTCTAGGCAAACTGCACAGCTCTACTACTAAACCCATGACAAAAGCAGTGTTACCCACCCTCAGAATCTCTTGCATTTATATAGCCCCTTCCTTGCCAGGAGCTCTGCCCCCTTTCCAGACATACCTTGGGCCTCTCACCACAGCTCAGGTGAGCTAGGTTCAGAGTTATGGTGCCCATTTGCCGAATGAGGGAAATGAGGCGCAAAGAGGGGGAGTGACTTGCCCAAGGCCATGCAGTGCATCAGTGGCAGAACCGAGAATACAGCACAAGACTCCTGCCTCTCAGGCTTGTGTCCTTAACACTTGACCACCCTCCGTCCCAGCATGGAGACTCTGTGACCTGTTAGAAGAACCAGATTTCTTAGGCTGTGTCTACACTACAGCACCTATGGTGGCATAGCCCCCTCGTGTACACGCAACGTACGCCAATAGAAGTGGTTTTCTGGCAGCATAGGAACGCCACCGCCCCGCACGCCGTTAGCTGTGCTGCCCGAAGCCCTCTTCTGTCAGCATTGCTGTATCTGCACTGCAGATTTGTTGGCAGAACGATGCCAAGCCGGGTTGTGGGATTTTTCATGGGCTAGAGCAGAGCCCAGAGGAATTCTCCCTTCCTCAATGGTGCAGCATTGTGCATTGAGTCAGGTGCATTACGGCCTTTTCTCACCTTCTGCTGAGGCCTCAGCTATTGCACATGGTTAGCTGCAAAAGCTATTGAAGGAGACCCGTTAAATCACCCATTCTACCCCCTGCTTGTGCCGGGTGCTCCCTGCAGTACTAGGTGCACCAGGAGTCTGCTCTGACCGAGTCACTCCTCTCTCCCTAACCCTGAGACACTCGTGACAGAGTAAAGAGCGACCGTGTTCCTTGCATTTCAGGCACAGCTCCAAACTCCCCGGTCAGCATGCCGGAGTCACCCATCTCCCCATCTGGCTCAGGGATCTGGGGGGACGAGTGCACCATCTGCTACGAGAACATGGTAGATACCGTCATTTACTCCTGTGGACACATGTGTCTCTGCTACCCGTGTGGGCTGAAACTCAAGAAGATGGCCAACGCCTGCTGCCCGATCTGTAGACGGGCCATCAAGGATATCATCAAAACTTATCGCAGCACTTAGACCAGCAGCATGGGTTGGGGGGGGGGGCAGACGTGAGAGGAGCGAGGGGTCTCTGTCTTCACTCATCATTTGTGAAATTCAACATCTGAACCACCCCCAGGATGCTGGAGGCAGGGAGGGGAGGGTCCTGCTGGTGCCAGCTCTTCCCTTCCCTTTGCCCCCAACGAGTTCTGAACTCCAGCACATCAGGGAAGTCAAGATGAACCACTCTTTCCAATGGGTTTTACATTTTAATCTCAAGAAAACAGCTGGAGCCGTTCTTCCTCTTCTACAGCATGCCCAGGGATGTCCCCGCCGCTAGGCTAGCGGGAAAGGTGCGGTGAGGCACACCTTCTGCCCGGTGGACAGTGACAGTAGGCAGCTGGTGAGTGGCAGTAATACAGAGAAGAAAGTCGGCCTTTTGGGGGCAACTGACCCCATTTCACAAAAGCCTCTTAAATGGGCAGGGCTGCGTGGGCCGTTCGGAAGAGCTGGGTGTCCAGCAGGAGTACTGGCGGCAAAGGGTGTGACAGGGCCAGTCTGGCAGGAGATACATTATAAAGCCAAACCCTTTTGCTGGTGGCAGAATAGTTCCCAGGAACCCTGCTCACTCGATGCTCTCCGGGGAGCGGTGGCTGGAAATCGACGGGCTGAATGCTGCGTGGGGGGAGAGTGGGGCCCATGGCAGCGGATGGGTGTGCAGCATGTGGTTCCTGCGAAAGACTCTAGGGGGGGCATGGCTCTGCGTGTCGCCGTCCAGCGAGGTGACGGGGTTACGTTTTCAGCAGCCTTGCCCCAGCGGCCTGGCTCCTTGTGGCACTGCACGACTATAACCCCACTGCACCGATGCTTGCTCCTGAGTTCTCCCTGCCCTTCACAAGCCAAAGGCCTCTCCCCTGACCCCTCAATCAGCACTTGCAAAAAACACTGAGGAAGAATGTCTACACCCGCCCTCCCACCAATGCTCTGTTTTTATGGTAGAGTGTTAAATGTCTCTCTTTGCTTTAAAGGAAGGAAACTTGGGTGGTGATTACACGCTCTTGGCCACACTGATGTGACAGGGTGGTCAACGCACTTAGTCATCAACAAGCAAAAAAGGAAGAAAGTGGCTTAAAACAGATTTTGTTTCTTTGTTTTAATGAAGGAGCTTCTGATTAAAATAAAATAAATAAATAAATGGAGATATCCCATCTCCTAGAACTGGAAGGGACCTTGAAAGGTCATCGAGTCCAGCCCCCTGCCTTCACTAGCAGGACCAAGCACTGATTTTGCCCCAGTTGGCCCTCTCAAGGGCTGAACTCAGAACCCTGGGTTTAGCAGGCCAATGCTCAAACCGCTGAGCTATCCCTCCCCCCCAAGATCACTCAAGGGCCAGAGGTAGGTGGAGGGAAGGGAGAGAACTGGTTTGCTGCTGCTCCTGCTGCCGCCCCATCAGTTTGAGTGGCCAGGTTCTCTGCACCCCACCCATTTTGTGTGTCTATCTGTGAGTCCTTGTGACCACCCATTCTAGGAAGTTTAGTACTGGGCGGCTGCTAGGCTCGGCCGGGGCTCACTCAGGCCACAACCATCTCAGTTTAGGTCTGTCAGTCCTCCCTGGTCTGCACCTGCACTACGAGCAAGGCACGCCCCATCCCTCTGGGGCTGAGCTGTCCACCCCGGGGGCCCATTGCGTTCACGGGGCTCAGCGTGGTGGCAAACGCGAGGCCTAGAGATTTTTGTGTCTAACTGGGGACACCATAAAGTGGCCTCGTTTTCAGAACGCGACAAGCCCCATCAGGAAACCAGGCTCCTCTGAACAGCCTCGAATGCGGCACTAATGAAAAACTGGGAGGAGGGGCTTGATCTCAGCTAGCGCCCATTGACCTCAGTGGGAGCTCAAGCAAGACCCCAGCTTGCTGGGAAGTATTAGATGACGCAAGCCTGCTGCTTTCCAGGGGGCTGCACGGCAGAGAAGGCAAGCAAGCTGTGGCTCATTTATACTCCTCTCTAGTGTTAACGGCCCCAGAACACACCTGTCCCCCCCAGTCGAGCCTGAACAGATCCTGGGCTCAGTCACTGCGGACCACGGTAGATCATGTACCGCTGCACTGCCCCTTGACTGCAACGAGAGCCTGGCCAGTGCCGGCCCAGGCCTTTTGCTTTACGTGCTGGCCTCTCGAAGCTTGTGGGCTCTTACGGAAGCAAATTCACTGTCAGTTCTATTAGGCGCTGTGACCAAGCAACCCTGGGAGCAAGAGCAGTTAGTTATTGGCACATCAGGCCCCATGTGCATTTCAGGGCCTGGTCCCGTCCTGCCCCCCAAAGCACTGAAAGGGCGAGTCTTTGTTATGTGCCGGGACGTGGCTCTGCTCAGTAACCCATGATGCTGATTTGCTACAGACCATGATCAAAGTGCTGCTGCTCCCGATGGCGCGACTGCCCACACGGCCTCCTTTTCATGAGTGCAACTTACTTTTCAGCTCGGCTCGCAGGAGGAAGCCTGGGGCTGAGGTAGCGCCAGACTACACAAGGGCGCTCGCGTTTGTAAGTCACTGGAAGTGTAGAAGATGAACAAATAGCATCTGGCTGCCCTAAGGAGCAGGGCCCAGCTCCTCCACTCTTGCTAAACTGCCTTATACTGGCTGAGATCTGGTCCAAGGCATGATCCTTACAGTGAGGCATGAGATCTTTCTGTGGCCTCTGGTCAGGGCCGGCATGTATATTTAGGCGGCCTAGGTGGTCGCCTAGGGCACCAGGATTTGGGGGTGTGGGTGTGTGTGGCATTTTGCCGCCCTCATCGGCAATTCGGCAGCGGGGGGGGTGGTCCTTCCGCGCTCCGGCTCTTCGGCGGCAATTCTGCGGTGGGTCCTTCACTCACGCTGGGACCCGCCACCAAAGTACCCCGAAGACCGGGAGTGTGGAAGGACCCCCCCACCGCAGAATTGCCAACGACGACCGGGAGCGTGGAAGGACCCCCACCTAGGGCGCCAAAAACCCTGGCGCCGCTCCTGCCGCTGGTGCTTTACAAAGCAGGCAAGTTCTTCACAGGAGACAGCAAGCCCACTCCTGCATGTCTAACTTGGGCAAAACTCACATGCTCCCAGGAACTGGGCAAAGTCAAACACAGGCTCAGACACCTGTCAGGAGCAAATGGGGGGGACATGTTGGTGATCAGCCGGGAAGCAGAGGGTGTTACGTAAAACTGGTTTGGTTTTTGCTTTTCATCGTTACTTTTCCTTGTAATATATCAGCAGCTGGCTGGTGGGGAAGGGGGGGGAAAAGCTCCTAGCAGAAGCATAATGAAATTAATACCTAATTATTTTCACAATGAAGTACTGTAGCAATGTAAGCAGCTTCCCCCCCCCCCGCCCCCGCCCCAGCTGATGCAGGTGTACCAGCCGCCTTCCTGGTGTGCAGCAAACAATCCTCTTGTGCCAGTAGATTTTTGCCAATAGTCACAAATACTGTATTTGTTTCTATATTGTAGATTTTAATATATAAATAGAGTTATGGCACTGGAGTTAATTCCCCTGCCATTCCTGCATCCTCCTCCCCGACAGCCGGCTGTGGAAAGGAGCAACTCAGTGCAGGGGCAGTCGTGTGCTGATTTTCTTAATAAACGTTATCTTGATGCTGCTACTGTGCGTGGAAAGCCGCTGTGTCCCCAGCGCTTGGGTTAGCTGGCAGATGTAGTTTTAAGCATCACTTTTCACGGGGATGGTCTCGTGCCAGATGATGGGTGGCTCCTAACCCCACTTGTGGGAATCTCAGCAGAGCCCCCCCTTTGGCATACAGAGCGTGTAGGTTCCTACATTTTAATTCTTACAGCACCTGAAATGCCCACAGTGATGCAGCATTAAATGACAGGGACTAGGCCCTCTGGCTGTACTCCTGTGAATCAGCCCTTTGGATCAGACAGGCCTTGCCCCTGCCTGAGCATTGCAGGAGTGGATGCCAAACTCATCTGGGCTAGAATAAGGGCTTTCCCCATCTGACTACGTGCAAACACTGTTGGCTTTCAATGAAAATAAGCACTGACTTGCCCAAACACCAAGAGCAGAGGGACAGCACCAGTGTTTATACCAGCAGCTGTCCCTAACCGTGCAGGCCCTGGACCGATGCAGATCTAAGCGAGTAAGGAAGCGGGAAGAAACACTGGGGGCGGCGAATGAGCACATATATATATAAAGCCAACGCAGTCAGCATCATCTCCATTCAGTCTGTCCAGACTAGGCTGGTTAATGGCTACATCGTGCCTTTTAAAGACGGTACAAAAAGGGGGTGGGCACGTGGCACCGTACCAGCCCTGACTGAATTGAGTATATTTAAATGTAGTGAAATGTGTTTGTTTTACGGTGGATCAAACTCCAGGCATTAGCAGGAGCTTTGTCAAGTAGGCTGGGGAGTTAGGAGAGGGCTACACTAACGCCTGGCTGCAGACTCGGGTTTGAGCTCAAGGGCCTTTCTGCCAACACACAAATCAGTCTGACGCAGCTCAGGGAGCACGAGGATCGCCAACTTCCTAGTCGCACAAAACTGAACACCCTACCCTGCTTCCCCAAGCCCCCTTTCCCCCACTACCCTTGCTGTCCTCCACCCTCAGTGGGCTGGGGTGAGGTATGTGGGTTCCAGGGTGGGGCTGAGGGATTTGGAGAGCAGGAGGGGGCTGTGAGTTGGGATGCAGAAGGGGGGGGGGTGAGGGTTTTGGGGGGGGGCCAGGGCAGGGGCATAGGCTTACCTCAGGCAGCTCCTGGTCGGGGGGTGAAGGGAGGGAAGGGAGGGCATGCTAAGGCAGGCTGCCTGCCTGTCCTGGTACCGCACGGTGCATGCCCTGGAAGCAGGCGGCGCCACGTGCTGCTCTCACCCGCAGGCACCAACCCCCCCCCCCCACCACCACCACCACCAGTGTTCGGAGCAGAGGCAGCCCGCAGAGCTGTCTGGTGCCCCCGCCTAGGAGCCGGCCCTGTCCTACTGGACACTTCCAGGGCACGGCACGGTGCCAGCCAGGACAGGTACGGACTAGCCTGCCTTAGCACCAAGCGCCCATTAAAAGCCCAGTCTGCAGCGCTGACTAGAGCCGCCGGGTCCCTTTTCGACTGGGTGTGCTGGTCGAAAACCGGAGACCTGGCCCCCCTAGGAAGCACCCAGGCTCCTGCTAGGAGAGCTGGTCAGCGCCTCAGTACCGGTATGACTTGGGCCAAACCCTGTCACTTTGCCAAGGCACGTGGTCTGTCCAGGGCAGCATGAATGCAATAGCTGTGAGACCTGGGGCTAGTACTTGTAAACTCAGCTTAATGCTGCAGCGTGATCGCTAAACCATAGGCTTGGAAACACGGTCGCAAGCCCTGGGCTTCAGTGGGCTGAGCAGATACGCCGTCAGGGGCTGCGCCTCTTCCTCCCGTAGTTTGACTAGTGCCACAGTAGACGCAAGGTCCAGCCCAGGGAGCAGCAGGGCAGAAGCAGTAACAAAACAAAACTCTCATTTTTGTTGGATTGGTGTTGGTTCCAATGTGTGCTGGTGTCAGCTCCATTTCCTGGTTTTATTTTACAATGGTTTGTGTTCTAGCAGAAAAATCCACTCTGTGAAAATTGGATAACTGTGATTGTGAATAAAGGTGATTTTAGGTATCCCACAGCAGCGTGAGGGCGCAGTTATTGGCCATTGGCTTGGAGTACATGCAGCCAAAACTCACAAGTGCTACCCACCTTACTTACAGATGGCTGGGCCCATGGGTCAGGGATCCAGGCTGCGCCCCATCAGCTTGATGTCCAGGGCCTGAGGGTCTAGTTCCTTGCACCCAGTGCAACGAGATGGTAAAATGCTACTGAGCACAACACTATTTCACCCCCAGCCTGCCCAGGCATTAGGGCTGCAGCCCCTGTCTCTGACAAAAGTGGAGGAGCAGTTACAGGCCTGCTTAGTCAAACTAGGCTGGAGGAGGGAGACTTCCTATCAGGTAGAGGGGGATTTGAACCTGGGACTTCCAGGCTGAGTAGAATATCCTAGGCCCCTGTGCCCTTATGTATAAAATCCAACACGGAGGCTCGCTCCTCACAGCAAAACTGTCTTTTTACATCATGCTAGAAACAGCCCCCCCCCCTTTTAAATTTTTTTGCAGTGAAGACAGCCCCAAAACACTACTGCTGCCAATCCTTCAGCATGATCGGAGGAAAGGCGAGCAAGCTCCTGCACCTGTACTTCCAGCTGCCCTTCCTGCAGCCTGTGCTGTGA